CCTTGGGAATCTTGCCAACAGTGGTTTTAGAAGTAAGGATGGAGGGAGCTGAAGGAAATGAGAACGTCAGAGCAGCAGGCACTCTTTGGACAAGTTCGGCCATAAGGCGGGGCTGGACAGAGGGCAGGAGCTGAAGAGGTCCGTTGACTCCAAAGCCGTATGATTTCTCTCCTTTTCTTTTCTCTTTTCTTTTCTTTTCTTTTCTTTTAAAATAGAAGTCACGTTGATTGGTAGGAACCACAAACTCTTCTTTTCTTACCCCTTCCAGGATGGCTGCCTCTTCTTCAGCAGCTACAGCGGGAGGGTTAACAGTAGCTCCGCCTCCTCCTTCCTTAGGAGCAGCCACTCTGATGCTGAAGCAGAAACTACCTAGGTCTGGAGTCTTATCTTGGTGAAGGAGGGAAGCTGTCAATCCAAACTTTTGACTGGGACGTCAGCCTGGTCCTGGATCCCAAAGTGGAGTAACATAATTCTCTCTGGGAAATAATAAGCGTGCTTGTTCTAGGTCACTTAACCCAATAGCTGAAATTCACTCGGGGAGCAATGGTATAAATTGAGCTACAGAGAATAGTGAGGAAGAGTACGAATTTTGGATGGTTTGGAGGAGCGGAAGTCTAGCAGCACAGAGGAATGTGGTGAATCCCACGGCAGTCTGAAGACGCTGAGCTCCAGGAGAGGCAAGAGGTACTGACAGATGTGCTCTGGCCCTCCTCCTCAAGGCCGGGAAAGCCGTCCCATCCTTCTTCCCCCACCCATTCCCTGTTGGAAGAACAGGCAGACAGTCGCTGTGTATTAATTTCAGCTCATGAACTTGTACAGAACGATGTGAATCCCAGGCCGGGTGTGTACCCAGGAGCACTGCCCTCCTCCTGTGGCCTGCGCCTACACCCTTGGGTCTTTGGGCACTGAGGCAGAGACGGGCAAGGACAGGCGACCTAGAGCAGAGAAAGAAGGGATAGTCGTGGCCTTATTTAGTAGTCCACCCATGGTCCCTTTGCTCTCACCAAGATGCCCAGGGAGACCCATTGACTTTTTGAACCCAGAACCTCCCCATTCACAAAACAGTTGTAAATGCATGAAAGAGCCTCAAATGCAAGTGTATTCATTTCCACAGCTTCATGTATTCTCAACCTTTCATCAATTAAATGTTGAGACGAACTAATAAACTATTAATATAATACAGGCTAATTTATTTTTACAGTGACTTTGGCAGGTGCTGACTTTTTCTTCGTCTAGAACACAGGTGGCAAACACAAGGGATGGATTCAGGCCTGAGGGCCGAGTCCGGCCCTCCACCTTGTTTTATCCGGCCCGGCACCTTGTTTCTGTCCAGCGGCAGTACCAACCTCTCACTTTAACTGTTAAGGAGTAGTTACGTTTACACAGTCCTAAAATTACACTCGGCCCTTTGAAGGCAACCGTGGGGCTGATGTGGCCCCCGGTGAAAATGAGTTTGACACCCCTGATCGACAAAAAGACTTCCGTTGTTTTGTACGAAAATCCCAAGTCGATTCATCCTGAGTAGAAAGGGTTGCGCATCCTCATCATCCCGTTAGGATACTTGACAATAATTCACAGGCAGTTGGGGATCATCATCAGGCTTTCAAATACTGCCTAGATTAGTGAAAAACACTATATTTAAAATATAGTATAACCGTCACATGGTTCTCTCCAGCAATTAACCTGCGCTGCTTCCTTAAGTTGCCCTGCCTCTATCCCCACAGAATAAGTATTTGGTCTGTCTGCTCAGAATTATCATGTATTTTATTCTTCCCTCTAGGTAGGTCACTAGATTCCTTTTTGAACAGTGGCATCAAACAGCTATTTAAAAAAGACTAAATATGTGTAAAACGCAGCTCGTATTTCTCTGGAGCATTGAGTCATATTATACAGAATTATAAAATACTATCAGGAAAGGGCACTTTACATGCCATAATAGTCATTTTATAAAGTTCAATTTGGCAATTCCAAGTCACATTTAATTTTCTCTGCAAATTCCCACATGGCAGGAAGATATTACTCTTTGTGGCTTTCATGTCTCTTTCAAGAAACTGGTAAAAGCACCACCTTTTAGAAGTAGCGCTTTTTCTATGAGTAGACACTAAATTACTTATACCAAATAAAGTCGCATATCGTTTACATTAAAATAAATACTAAAATAATAAGTGATTTTCTCATATAACCATTCTGGGATTTGTGCAAATTAGAATTTTGTAGTCTAGTTTAGTAACACTTAGAATGACTTGTAATTCTTCATCTTCACGGATAGGTGGAGCTAGTAATTTCTGTATTAATTATCATATTTTAGCATATTAAAATCTATATCTAGATGAAGCAGATACTTCAAAGCTTCAAAACTGATGAAACTGCATACTTCTCTTTTAAGGGATAAAGCCGTTTGCATTAATATGTGAAATCCACCACTGAAACACCCCCTGCTGACTTCACGGGTTTTGCAGGGAGTTGTGCATAATTTTCTGAAAATTAAAAGACTGAGAATCAGATACTTATGAAGATAAAAATTAAATCTCCAGAACTATTAAAAACTCGGAAGATTTTTCCTAAGGTGGAATTTTTTTTATTCAGTTCAACAATTTACTTAATACAATACCAGAGGTAATAATAAAGTCAGAAGATCATAGCTTGAGTATCAATTGGACACACTAGCACTATAATCATGCTCACTGAATGTCTTTGTAAACCTGCATGATGGGATTCAAATGAGAAGTAAGTGAAGTGACATGGGAAACTGCTTTGTAAGGAATAGGCCACAACCTCACAAATGCTGATTATTTAAGATGGCAATGATATAAGACAAGAATCCTCCTAGTTATATCTGGGGACAAATTCTCCATGTAAATGTGTTTTTGCTCTCTTTAAAATTTTGTCTCGTTTTTATGTTGGTGTGAATCTCTTAAAAATTCATGTGGGCACATTCTGAGTCATCTGAACATTCTCCTGGTAATGGCCATACAATGTGTGTGTCCAATGATGGCATTAGTGCCAAGCAATTCACCTTCAGTTGTGTCTCAGGCTAATGAAAACAGATGCAAGCAGACTTATTAAGTAGCTTCTGTGTTCTTCTAAGAGAAAGGCAAGAAACAATGGCAAAAATTCTGAGCAAAGATTTGGTGTTAGTTTGGACCCAGAAAACTGATGAGGAAATCCAGTCATTACATGGCACATGCACATGGGTACTGAACTTTTTAGAAAACAAACCTGCATTAAGAGCAGTGATGTAACATCAAGCATCGTTTGTGTTGGATTTGTACCTTTGCATATATACTATACTTATTGTAATTGTGTTCTAGTTAAATTATCATATGAAATCTTTAAGCTTAAGTTTATACTCAGGTTTATATTCTATATATGTTCTATATATTTAAATAACACTAAAATTAACATACATTAATTAAATAACATAAAATGTAATACTTGGGAGGGTGTGGTGCATGAGATCAGAACTTAGAAAAGCAAGAAATCAGGTTCAGTCTTCTCTGTATTTTGCTGTGCATCCGTGGACAAGTCAGACGTTCTCATCTCTTCTTCTTCCCAGTAAAATAAGATAATAATCTCATCTACATAGGATTGTGAGGACTAAGTGAAACAATGAATATAACTACAAATGAATGCCTTCTTAAATATAGTGTGTTTGAGTTACAAAAAGGGTTCTGAGTGAAGAGTGTAGGCTTTCGACCTACATTTCCTTGCCACCTTGGACAAATCATCTTATCTCTGTGGGAGTCACATCCCAATTTTCTAAAGCTAGAAAGTGTGTCAGATTATCTCACAGTCCCTTCTAAGACAGTTATAACAGAAGGTGGGTGGATTTTCCATATCATATCTACGTATTTGATTTTCCATTAGCTTTATTTTAGACTTACTATTCTGAGAAATACAAAATTTTTAAATTCAATTGTGATCAATACAGCAATTTGCAAAAAACCAGGGTTAGAAAAACTAAATTCTATCAGAGATTTTAATATCTTTCTTTGCTTTTTGTCTCTGGTATAATGGAGAGTCTGAACTCATATTTGAGCCTTTTTTTTCTGTACTTGGATATAACAACCTAGGCAAGTCAAATAACCTCTACATTGACTGCACTGCTTAAAAAGAAGTCTCTGAACTCAGACCTAGGGATTCCAATCCCGAGTCCACCTGGTTTGCTGTGCAGCCTAGGGTAAATTGCTGAACCTCTCTAAGCCTTACTTTGTTTTCTAACAGTTAATGAGATAATAGTTGCAAAGCACTCAGCTGTGAAGGCTGGTACTTTGGGAAAAGCTCAATGAATGTTAGCTATTAGTATTACTGTGTTCCTTCCCTTTCATCCTTGGCTTTCCTGTTACTGCAAGGAGAGGCTGAAACATTTGAAACATTGAACTATGTCCTGAATTTGCACACCAGATGACCTCTGTCGTTTAGTGCTCACAATTTTAAGGCGGGCATCGGTCCACTTAACAGGTGATAAAACTAAGGCTGAGAGAAGTTAGAAAACTGCTATCCGGCCCTGCAGCGCTGAGGTCCTAAAAACATCTAAGCGTATGAGAAAATTGTTAGCGAACAATTTTTGCCTCTAGTCCTCTAATCACTAGCTTTTCAGCAATTGTTCACAGAGGGGCATTAAGAATGTCTTTCAGCCAGGTGTACTGCAAGCCTGGCTAGTTGCTGGGCTCCACGCATCCTCGGCTCCGCCCCTCCGGGTTCCCGACGTGACCCCGTCAGCCCCGCCCATCCGCAAGGCCCCGCCCCATGGGAGGCCCCGCCCACCCACGGGAGGCCCCGCCCACCCACGGGAGTAGTCTCCCGCAGGGTCCTTCACTGCCCTCTCCGGTAGAAAAACAACATACACCCAGCCTGCACCGCCCCTAGTGGGACGTAGCGCATGCGCCCTGAGAACGCCCGGATTTCCTGTCCACACTCTTCGTTTCCGACAGGATACTACCGACCAATGAGGTGGGTACGGAGGTGGGCCCTAGTACTCCAGGCTCCTCCTCCACGGGTGCGTGCAGACACGGGGAAAGGGCCGCGTGACGCCTGGGCGGCCCTGCGGAGGCCCATGGCTACTTCCAGGGCGCTCACCACTTTCCGTCTTCCGCCGTTGCCCACGATCCGAGAAATCATTAAGTTGTTCAGACTGCAAGCGGTGAAGCAGCTCTCCCAGAATTTTCTGCTGGACTTGAGGCTGACAGGTGGATAGCTTAACAGAGTCTTCCCGGCATCTCCGGGGGCGTGGGTCGCGCGCGGACCCTGCGGGCGGGCGTCCAGTGGTCAGGCACAGCTGCACAACCCGCCCTTAGTCTCGTCCTTCCTCCGCTTTGTACGGAAGACTCCGCGCCCAGCAGGCGTGGGGAACGCGTTGTGCGCTCACGGAATCCCGCGCTCGTGCGTTTGCAGGGCTCGTGCGGGTGGCGGTGCAGACGCCCAGCAGACCCGAGGGCAGGAGGGGGCGCGTGTTGGGGAAGGCGATTGTGGACGGTCGAAATTCCATGTGTTACCACTGAAATGGGGTTGCACGTGCTGGCTAGGTTTACTTTCCGCGCAGTTTAAAGTTACCCGAACTTAGATTAGTGCAGGGATTGTATCAATAACTTGTCGAAAGGGAGTGTCACTCGTAGACGTCAGTATTGAGACGTTTACATTCATTAGCATCTAAGACGTCCTCGTGGGCGCAAGTAGTCATTCGGTAAATGCACATCGAATAGCTTTGTGCTGCGGTTGGAGCTGCAAAGTCACAGTGAACAAGGCAAAGTCTGCCCCCAGGAGCTTACAGTTTAGTAAGTTTACGGAATCCCGCTCCTACACAGTAAAAATCACCAGTTTGAAGAGCACAGTTTGATGAGTTTTGCAAATGTATACATTCATTTAACCACTACCACCATTTCTTAGTGAGGTTCCCTTCTAAAAGACGAGGTTGCAAGAGTAAGATGTATTTATTACAAATGTGTCACTGTTAGAGCACTTACCATTTTTGAGGTTTTCATATTCCTATTTGGCTTCTCTTAAAAGCTAAAAGTATATCACACCCTAAAAGTTCATTTTTCAGTTCAATGAAATACCGTCCATAAAGCAGGACTAAGATGCTTCATTTTTCTTAGACTTGCTTGGAGCTTTTATTCTGCCAGTAGCAATATGATTTTGGGTAAAATAGCTTAACTCTGCTTCGGTTTATTTTATTTTATTATTTATTTTTAGAAAGAGGGAAAGAGAGTAAGAAAGAAAGGGAGAAATATCAATGTCTGGTTGCCTCTCATACACCACCCCCCACTGGAGGACCAGGCCCCCAATCCAGACGTGTCTTGACTGGGGAATCAAACCCTTTGGTTTGCAGGCCAGCACTCAGTCCATGGAGCCACCCCAGCCAGGGCTGCTTCGGTGTTTTTTTTTTTTCTAATTTGTTACTTGGAGGAACACCCTACAACAAGAGTTCAAAACATTACCCACCTCTAAAGTTCTTTGCTTCTGGTACTAAGCAGAAGCAGCTTTTTTGCCATTCATTAGCCACATTCTAGGTATAAAGCATCAATTTCAGGACTGAAAATACAGATCTACATTTAAAAAAAAAATCCTTCATGTGTATTTTCTTTTTTTTTAAAGAGCTTATTTAGTTTTAGAGAGGAAGGTAAGGAGAGAGAGGGAGAGAAACATCAATGTGTGGTTGCCACTCACGTGCCCCCTGCTGGGGACCTGGCCTGCAACCCAGGCATGTGCCCTGACTGGGAACTGAACCTCGACCCTTTGGTTCACAAGCCCACGCTCAATCCACTGAGCTACACCAGCCAGGCCTGTATTTTCTCATTGAGCCTTTATTCCCCCTCAGGAGTAAGTTCTAGAATCTGGATACTAAACTCTCTTCCACAGGAACCAAAAGGAAGGGAAATGAAGGTACTTGACCAAGGTGAGAAGCTCAGGTGGGCGCAGAGCAAGGCTGAAACCCAAGCTCGGTGAATGGGCAGTGCCTCCTGGATGGCATGTGTCCTTGAGTGTGCCTGAACTGTTCCAGGGCGGAGCCACTGACCTGCCTATGATCGTAGCTCTCTGCTTTCCAAAAGGAGAATATTAAATTTACTCCCTAATGCCTGTGCTTAATGCATCAGAGGCGTTGGTCTGTATCAGCTGTAGAATTTACACCCGAGCTGGAGCCCCTTCTGGTCCGCTTGCCATCTAGATGACCTTGCCCAAGTAAAACAGTCAAGGCAGAGGCAAAGTTCAGAGAAGTTACTGGGATAGTGCGTTGGAAGGATTTGTTCTGAGAAAGCAGTTAAAGCACCTGTGGCAAACAGGTGGTCGGGGGATGTGGCTTCCCTCCCTGCACCCTTCATAGACAAAGCTATTTTTGAAATGTTGAGAGGCAGTTTTTCCTTGAAGTCCACAAAGGTAGGTTCTCAGTAACAAGAAAAATGGGGCTCCACAGTGTCAGTGAACACTGCCAAAAAGTGCTGCTATGTTTTCAGTGGCTGAATTCCTGCTCCTCAAGGACGCCCAGTTTGGATTTTAATCTCTCAGTCAGTAGACCAGCCCACTGTATGGGTTTTTCAGGAGTGATGACTGGTTGCATGAATCCTCATTAATCTGCTTTTCCATGCCTTCTTAAGGTCTCCTAACTTAGAAAGAAGTTGATTAATTTAAAAAAATAAGAATTTCTCCATATCAACCTGCATGTTTGCAAAGCTCAAAAACCTCCACTGCTAAATTTAACTTTTAACTGAGAACCACCAAGAATCCAAATTTCTGCAAGTCTTATGATCTAGGACCTTGTTGCCGTTGCCATATTGACGAGCAACCAGATGTCTAGAGGTCAAGATGGAGACTGCCAGCACTTGTTGCTTCTGGACTTCTTAAACAGCAACATTGAAGATTCTGAACGTGAAACTGGTCCTGTTCATTAAAAATTTCGATGTTTAGTAACTGTTGAGAAGTGGTGTGCTTACCCAGGCCATTCTTCATAGGGATGGATTGGTTTGGGGGAGGAACAGTAAATACAATATTGGCTAAATTTAAGTTAAAGAAATCTGTCATGATAATCCTATTTTTGCTAAAGAACTGGTACTTCCCCACAGCGGTGAGGTAGGCTGATGAATGGCCACTATGTGTTGTTTAGGCTGAGAGTTAAGTAATTGGATTAATACTGTGGGTAAAGGATTAGTTGATTGAGTAATGGCTGATAAGAATTTGTATTGATTACACTTTTAATTCCATACACAAAATTTGCCAAGATAATCAAGATACCCTTCTTTTCTCCAGATAAAATTGTAAGGAAAGCTGGCAACCTGACAAATGCTTATGTGTATGAAGTGGGCCCCGGCCCCGGGGGAATCACAAGATCCATTCTCAATGCCAGTGTCGCTGAACTTCTGGTGGTCGAAAAGGACAGTCGCTTCATTCCCGGATTACAGGTGAGATACTTGAAGTGGCTTTCCAAAAGCCCAATTTCGATCTTTAGGCCATGACTCCTAAACCCCTCGGAATCCAAGGATTACTTACATAGGGCGCAGCTCCCCAGGCCCCATTCCAGGGATTTTGATTCATCGTCTGGAGCGGGCTCGAGAGCTGTGTTTCCAACAAGCATCCCCACGTGGTCTGTTGACCCGGATCGAATAAACCTGCTTTGGTCATTTATGCCGAAACACACTGACTGTTTAGTGTCACCTTCCAAAAAAAACTCCAATACCCGTGCACGTCACGGCCCATTCCTCAAACGGGAGTGCAAACACATAGTGGTAATAATGACTCAGCATGACTTCTGAGAACTTCACTTACGTTCTGAAAATCATTTCTACACGCAAAAGGTGGGGAAGGCAGGCATTGGCTTACCTGAGAAACTATTTGCTAAGCTTAGGCATTTGTATAAGAGGATTTTTTAACTGAAAGAATGCAGTGATACTATACGAATGGATTCAAGAGGAGGTGTGAGTGAACTGATATGTGCGACTTTAAAACAGTAGGTGCTGTTGTTGTAAGAGAAATGTTTAAAGGAACTGGGCACGGTTCAGCTAGAGGAGGGAAGCCCTGAAGGAGGGAATCCAGAGCCGCCTATCAAAGGGTGGCGGGGAGAGAATAAACTTGCTTTGCTCTTCTCGAAAGAATCAGAACAAATAGGAGGGAAGCGAGGGAGGCAGATTGGGGTTTAAAATAAGAAGGGATGTATATTTTTAAAACATTAGCAGATAGAGCAGCAGGGATCTTGCAATGGGAATTCTTCACTGGGGGCACTTTGTGGCCAAAGGGCCTTTACGTCCAATAGAATTGTCAAATTACCTGCATCACTATTGTTACACAAGAGGACCGACTGGTTTAAAATGAGTACATTCTAATATTTACTTATGTGTATATTGATGGGAAAATGTTTACTTTCTGCCAGAACAGTTTGAGAATATTTGTGTGAAAATTTCTGTGCATGCATCTGATTTTTTTAAAAGAAACCTAGTGATTTTTTTCTTTTCGCTATAATCAGTTTTCATGCCTTAAGAAATTATATGATTTACTTTTATTTAATTTTGCCAGTCTCTAGTGACAGAATTGTTTTCAGATTTATACATTTATTTTGGAATAGTATATGGTACATATTCTGTGATCAACTGTGGAATTTAACATTGATTTTTGCTTTGAACTGCTTTCTTATTTTAAGAACTGTATCTCAGTTGGAGGTGAAAGTAGGTGATATTATTTTTGGTGAGGTCATGAGATGGTATAAATAAACTGAATAACACTACTTAATTCCCTTCAGGTTTAATCATTTAGCCCTTTCTGGACATAGAGAATACCCATCTGATTTTTTTTTTGTTCTTGAAAAGACTTCTTTACCCTCAATCTCACCTTCTGTTATATGCAGTTCTTCCTCATTAGGCAGGGAGGTGAATCACATTTCTGTTCATTGTCATTTTAATGTACATATTCTCCTCTCTGATCTCAGCTGCAGATCATGGAAGACAGAGTAGTTGAAAGACAGATGCACCTTATCTCAACCGCCCTCCTCCCAATCCCTACAGTTCTAATCTGACTTATTTTGTTTGTCGCATTAGATTTATCGTCCTCTGACACTATCTCCGTGTTCTTATATCTCCCTTGTCCCTTGCTGGATTTCTGCCATCTGTAAGAGTGCCATGCACATAGCAGGTGCTCACTAATGCCTCAAATGGGAATAACAAGGCTGACTGTCTATGTAGCTCTCTGATTAACTGACTAATTGTGTCACTTAATAATGAAAGTGAATGTTACACAGCATAGATTATCAAAAAGTTTTGTGCTCTTCTAAATATTAGGAGGTTAATTTCAAGCTAAATTACTCTGTAGGAAATATATATTTGACTTATCTGTTTTGGTAGAAGAAGCAAAATTTTTAGTGCCTTGTATGCAGGAAAGGAATTTGCCTTAAAGAGAAATGTTAGGTACTAAAATAGCAAATAGACTTCTTTTCCCTGTAAAGAATGTTTCAATATGTAAAACCACTTTCTTTTAGAGGTACTAAATTAATCATAAAACTGAGTAAAGGCAGAAAGAGAGTGATCTATTTTACGGATTCCATTTTAGTGATTTCTAAGCTAATAGAATTACTTTTTAAAGAAACTGTAATAATTTATAAAATGTCTTCTAGCTGAAAGTATGTCATTTGTAGCTTAATTCAATTCTGATAATGTGATCAGGAGGCAGCTTAGAGGAAAGGACAATAGTGATCATATAGGTTTCACTCTCAGCATGTTGCAAAGTAAGAAAATGCGTCTAATACGTGAAAGCATAGAGTACAGTTTTGTGGTAAAGAACTCGGACCTAAGGGTCAGACTGTGTGCTAGTCGTGTGACCTTGGGTGGGTGGCTTTCTCTCTCTGTCCACCCCCTTGCTCATAAGATTGTATGAGGATTAAATGAATACCTCCTACTTAGTAAGCACTTAATGCAATGTTTGGTATCATTAATCAAATTATTAACCCATGCGTGTGCACCTCTGTTAGTTACGGGTTGGTCAGGAGACTGCTCATCTGGAAAGAGGTATAGGAGAAAAGTAATGCTATTTCTTTGAAGCGCTAGAAAATCCCCACTACCGTGGAAGCGTTGGGGCTTAGAATGTCTGTGTTTTCTTCCAGATGTTTAGTCTATAGGTTGATTCTTTTAAAATAAATAAATAATGTGACTCATAGATACAGAGAACAGATTGGTCGTTGCCGGGGGTGGGGTAAAATTGTCCAAGAGGTACCAATTTGCAGTTATAAAATAAGTCAGCCCTGGAATGTGATGTACAGCGTGGCAACTGTGGTTAATAATACACAGTACTGTATATAGTGTATTACTAACTTGACAGCTGCTAAGAGGGCGAATCTTAGAAGTTCTCATCACAAGAAAAATATCTGCAACTGTGTGGTGATGTTAACTAGACTTATCGTAGTGATCATTTCTCAATGTATAGGTGGTACTGGCAGACCTTGGAGATATCGTGGGTTGGGTTCCAGACCACCGTGATAAAACCAGTATGTAATAGATTTGTGATCTTTTTGCTGGTGGAGGGTTTTGCCTTCAATTTGTAAAACAAACAAAAGGATGCAACATTTATGAAGCACCATAAAATGAGGTATGCAGGTATATTGAATGTTGTATTCCTGAAATAAATATAATGTTATATATGTCATTTATATCTCAGTTTTTAAAAGGTTGAAATGATTTTCAAGATCACTGGTGATATTCCTTCCTCTGAAATCTATTTTATCTGATATTAATATTGCCACTCCAGCATTCTTTTGATTAGTGTTAGCCTGGTACATACTTTCCATCGTTTTTGCCTATTTGTGTTTTTATACTTAAAATGGGTTTCTCATAGGCACCTTATAGTTGCATCTTGCTTTTTCCCACTAATTGACCATCTCTGCCGTATGCATTAGTTTTCTGTTGCTGCTGTAACAAATAACCACAAATTCAGTAGCTTAAGATGACACAAATTTCTTTTCTTACAGTTTTGGGGGTCAGAGCGCCTGAAACCAAGGTCAACGGGGCTTCATTCCTTGTGGAGCCTTCAGGAGAGAATTTGTCTCTTGGCCTTTTTCAGCCCCTAGAGGCCACCTGCATTCATTAGCTCCTGCACCCGTTGCCTCCCCACCTGCCACTATTGATCTGCTCTTCTGCCTCTCTCTCATAAGGACCCTCGTGATGATGCAGCCCACCTGGACGATCTAGGAGGCTACCGCCCCTCCCAGGATCTTAACTCACGTGGCACAGTCCCTTTTATATGGAAGGGAACGTGGTCCCGGGCCCTGGGGGTTAGCGTGTGGACATCTCTGTGGAGCTAGCACTCAGCCGCTGCAGCTTATTACCTGTAACTCTTCGTTCTGTCACCTCAGTGGTTTGTCTAGGGTGTGCAGTGCACGTCCTCACGTGTCCCGGTCCCTCTGCAAGTCTCACACCCCTTCAGTGGTAGCATAAAAACTTCCCAGTAGTCTGCTTGCTTCTCCCCCTGCCAGGCCTTCGTGCTCGTGGACATACTTCCGCACATGGTATAAATTTCACAGGACAGTGTGTTCTGTTTGCAGAGTCAATTCTGTGTTAAAGAGATTTAAATAGGCAGAAATTCTTAAGCATTTATTCATATGGTTACCATTTTGGGTGTTCCTTACCCGCATTTCCACCCAGTATCATTTTTGGACTTTCTTTAGCGTTTCGTGCAGCACTAACCTGTTGGCAGCGGATCTTTCAGCACGTGTGTGTCTGAAAGCACTTTACGTGGCCTTCCTTTTCTGAAAAACCTGCTGGCCGTGTTCTCTCGGTACTCTGAAGATGTTGTCCACTATCTTCTTGTGTTGTTTCTGACAAGAAATACGTCATCTTTATCTTTGCTCCTCTGTCTCTGTTCTCTGGCTGCCTTTAAATTTTCTCTTTATCACCGGCTTTGAGCCGTTTCATCGTGATGTGTCCGGGTGACGTTTCCTTCATGTTTCTTGTCCGTGGGGTTCACTGCGCATCTTGGATTTGCAGGTTTTCCTCCGCTCCCTGTTGTCCAGTGTCTGAATATTGTCGTCTCAACTACTTTGTCCATTTTTTGTGTGGGGCAGAAGAGTATGTCTGGCCCCTGACAGCCTGTCTTGGCCAGAGTAAGAAGTTCTAGGATTCTTTTTAACCTTTAAGTCATTTACTTATTTTGTGGAATTTTGTAGATAGTAAGCTGTTGGTTATTGCTAGTATTGCCTCTGGGTTTTTAGAACAGGTAAACGGAGTGATTGTCTCTGCTTGATAGGCAAAGTGGAGAGTTCTCAGGATGGAGGATCAAATAGGCTAGTATTCAGATCTCAGATATGCCTCTAGCCTTGTGACCTTGAGCTTATCGTTGAAACTCTTTTAGTGTCAGCTTTCTCCTCTGAGAATACTGGTTATCTTTTGTGGTTATTGCAAGGATAGACAGAAGTTTATGTAAAGAG